CTTTATCCCGTCGAATTTGTCATGGAAAACGAAGATGGCTATGATCGGAACCATAGGAAACACCACCACGCTTATGGCGTTGCAGAAGAGAGCAGACACCTCAAAAATCAACGCGATCGCACCCACGTCGAACATTTGCCACCCTATGGCCGTCCAAACCAGAGTCATGACATAAGAAACCTTTCCCAGCTTATACCCCTCCATCTCTGCTTTCACTCCCTTCCAGTCTCCGCTGGCGAAGAACCCCACCGTGGCAAACACGGTGGCGAAGAAGGCTTGGTAGATTGACAAGTCCACTATGGTCTTAAAAGTTTGACCCTTAATCACTTTCCTGAAGACGACCTGCTGCAGAGCAAGAAGCAGTCCGGCCCCTGCTGTTCCCCCCATGGTACAGAGAAACCCGACAGTGTAATCCTCTTTGGAGATTCCCGCAGCCTTCTCGGAGTCGGGTTGGAAGACGAGGAGGACGAAGGAGACGGTGAGGAGGACTAAAGAGTTGATTATAAAAGGAGTGAACTTTTGGGAGTTGAGAAAGTAGGAGAAGAAAGCGTTGAAACCCAATTGGGAGGCAGAGATGAGTGTCACTGTGGACACCGGAAGTTTCTGTATCCCAACTGCATACATAAAGCAAATCCCGGCAACCAGCAGTCCAAGGGAAACATAAACAAAGATAACCCATTCCAAAGAAGGTTTCTCTGTTTCAATTGGTTTATCAAGAATTCTGGTATTGGAGAGATTAAGAAAGTAATAAGGAATGAGAATGGGGAATCCGGTGACCTGCACAAGGGTTGCCACCCATTTGCTGCCTCCACCTTCCTGAAAGTAAAGTCTTCCAAGCAGTATAGCTACCGACTGACCAGCAAGTACAAAGACGGAGTAGAGCGCAATCCGGAGGAGGCGGTGGCGGCTGCCGGTTGGAATCTCAATTTTTTCATCTGTGGGATTATTTGTCGTCTTTGCATGATCTTCTTGATCTAACGATGGCACATATAAAAATGATTACTTACATTGGTGACATTCTAAATCAATAAACAAAAATCATATGAAAAAGGGTTACTTCATTACCTATAATTTGGAGCTGTATCTCTTGAGCTGCTTCTTTCTCCATGTCTAAATGAAAATGATTCCAAGAAAGAGATGGAGAGATTGTAGTGAATAATGAGGATGAAGCAAATTGGCGTAAGATATAAAGATAATGGCAATGGTCCAAACGCCAGGGGTAGTAGGTAACGTTTTGAGATACTAAGAATGTTTGGTCGACCCATTTACAAAAGACATTTATGGGTAATTTTCTTTTAATTTATGGAAGGAAAATGGGTAACCATACCTACGAGAGAGAGGTGGTAACGTTTTTTCTTATCTCCTAATTTAGTGAAATTATTTTAAGACTTATTTATTCTTAAGTTGTCAATTAATTTCTTTAATTTTGTCTCATTTTATATTTTTAATTTTTTATGTGAATTTAAATAAATAAATATGTATTATATTATATAAAACTCTCAAGTATGAAACTTTTAAATTTACTTATCATTATTACTATATGAATCATATTGACTCATCTCTAGTTTTCATTCCATCCATAATAATTCTAATGGTAGTTAAAAAAATTAATTATTTTATGATTAATATAAAAATATATGACATTATAAAAAAATTTAATGACAAAAAAAACTAATTTGATAACATAAAAGATCAACTTTAATCTTCGTTAGATATTGACAATGGCGGAGTTGGGGGCTGGAGGGGCCAGGCCGCCCCTAAAATTTTGATATTCAATCTTTTTATCCACATGTTTTTATTTGTTACATTTTTTTTAGTGTTGCTCAATTGGCTTCATCTCTTCCTTCCAAATGCCAAGTTTAATTCTGAGTGTCAATCTCATCTCTAGAGTGATCTTTTAACTTTAATTAAATTATTTTATACGTATTTATAATTCAATATATATTTTTGTAGAAACTTTTATTCAAAAGCATTTAACAGATGTGCTAAATAATTAAACTCTTAGAAAAAAA